AATAGACCAGTGTCAACGTCTCCAAGACAAGCTTATCTTTGGAGAACAGTCTGAGAGTGATGAGAGTGGCCTGGCTTTAGAGATGGAAAACCTTCCAGACACCCTAAAGCTCAGATGAAACCATTTATTCACATTTTTCTTTCAAATGAGATCTGAGCCGAGCCGTAGCTCTGAGGAAGGCCCATCGTCTCCCTGTGACTGTTGCATCTGCAGAACAGAGCTATTTAAAACTCATATTATTAAAGAACAACCTGACTTCTTTCACGGTAGAGGACTGATCAAGTGGGCTGGCTGTGATTAGTATTAGTAACAACACAGTTTGCTATCAGATCTCTGACAGTGATGTCAGCAGGTATTTTGCAAACAGAAAACACTCGGCACAGGTTTTAAGGAGTGAGTGGACTATTGAAATGAGCAGTATAGCATTAAAAGTCAAGTTTGGGTGAATCTTGTTTTTTTCTTTTCAAATAGAGCTTTTGCATATAATAATAGCTACATATGTTTACATAGTTTTAAGAGCTAATCAGTTAATTTCAAAATTAATTTAATTTTGCACCTGATTACTATTTTAGTTAATCAAAGTCGTATCATTTGTTTGTTGTTGTTTTTGCACAATGCTGTTGCAGTTGGAACCAAAAACTATAAACTACATAACACTTTTACTTTAAATGAAATCCATTATAGTTTATTTTAATATTTTAAGTAACACCAGACTGTAAACATCACTGCCAGAGATGCAATGAGTTTAAAAGTGGTATGTGAATAATCTGATCATTAGGCTGTTGATTTCATCAGTAATATTATTGGCAGAGAAAAAGGGGCCCCAAACCGAATTTTGCTTTGGGCCCCATGCAGGCTTGGGCTGTCCCTGTGGGACTAAATCTTTAAAAGATGAGAAAACATTTGAAGGCTCAGTGCCAGATCCTCTTTTACCTCTCCAGAAGAGACTGAAAGTCACTATGTCAGACATTGTCTTGGTAAATATTCAGACATAACTCCCTGCAGCTCTTTCTCAGCCTCCATATTTGGAATCAAAACAAATCAAAACAAAGAATGCAAAAAAGAAAATAATAATTATTATGAAAGCTAATATTCCCATGTAGGACCTTGACTTTATGTCTTTCTCTGAGTGACTGTTCTCTCTCTGTTGTTTGTGTAGCAATGTTTATGTTATGTGATGAATGAAAACAAATCTATTGTATCAGTGAAATTATATCCTTAAATGTAATGGTTCTTCTGTTATATGAACTCACAGTGTTATTCTCATGAGTTGGTATTCTGGCCAAATTGTGAAATACTTTTTCCACTGGATTAAAAGTTATGCCTTGTAAGTCTGCAAAAGTTCATTTCATGCTATTTTTTAATATCTGTTTTAAACCACCCTACTTGTGCCCTAAGAAATAATTTTCATGGTGGCATGGCAATAATATGGGTATTTAATGCATCAGGTATTTAAGGTAATACAATCAGGTTTGCCTATCAACAAACTGAGTCCATAAAGCAGAGATCATGATTTCAGCACTATATAAACTAAGATAAACAATAGAATATTTATTAGCGAGGTGGAGATTTATCATGACTTGCAAATCTATAATTCTTTGACTAATGTTAAAAGGTTTTCTTCAAAAGGGATTCCAGAAATGTTCACTTGCTTTATTTCAGTCTTATATAATGGACAAAAGTTAAACAAAAAAACTAATCCAGACAGTTTTACAGGTATTTCTATTAAAATCCTTAGATTGCCTTGAACAGATTAATCTTTTACGGCAGCAACAGAACCTCAGACTGAAACTAAAAAAATAAAAAAATGTAATTAATTAAATCTTAATCATTAGCAAGTCAGTGCATTTAAAAAAAAAAAATTGTTGGGAATAATTCCTGCAATGAGAAATCAATATTCTTTTCCAAAAGAAATGCGTAGCACCTTGTTTGTTTAAATAAAACTAAGATTGGAGCTGAGCCTTCTGAAAAATAAGCATTCTAGGTGGGTTTTGAATTAATTTAAATGGACAATTTGGCAAAAACACAGTATAACCACAGTAAAGCACAGTGGAGATCCCATGATGCTTAGGCCTTTGTTTCTGCCAAAGTCCAAGAGAACCTTGTCAGACCTCAAAGCATCATTCATTTTAACACACAAAGACATCATAAAAATACATTTCCATTTCCAAATATGATTTGAAAATACATCTTTAAATTGCATTATTAATTAATTATTAATAATGGATAAAATAAATAAAATTTACACTTACTCTTTTATAGTTGAATTTAATATGTGTAAGTAGTAGAAAATGCTTTTCAAATAACTTTTCAAAATGCATGATTTAAATATTTCCTGCAAGATGACTCTATACAGGTGCTGGTCATAAAATTAGAATATCATGAAAAAGTAGATTGATTTCAGTAATTCCATTTAAAAAGTGAAACTTGTATATTATATTCATACATTACATACAAACTCATATATTTCAGATGTTTATTTTGTTTAATTTTGATGATTACAAATGACAACAAATGAAAATCTCAAATTCATCATATCAGAAAATTAGAATATTACTGAAGACCAATAAAAACAAAGGATTTATAGAAATGTTGGCCAACTGAAAAGTATGAACATGAAAAGTATGAGCATGTACAGCACTCAGTATTTAGTTGGGCCTCCTTTGGCCTGTATTACTGCAGCAATGCGGCGTGGCATGGAGTCGATCAGTCTGTGGCACTGCTCAGGTGTTATGATAGCCCAGGTTGCTCTAATAGTGGCTTTTAGCTCTTCTGAATTGTTGGGTCTGGTGTATTGCATCTTCTTCTTCACAATACCCCATAGATTTTCTATGGGGTTAAGGTCAGGAGAGTTTGCTGGCCAATTAAGAACAGGGATACCATGGTCCTTCAACCAGGTACTGGTAGCTTTGGCACTGTGTGCAGGTGCCAAGTCCTGTTGGAAAATGAAATCTGCATCTCCAAAAAGTTGGTCAGCTGCAGGAAGCATGAAGTGCTCTAAAACTTCCTGGTATGTGGCTGCGTTGACCCTGGACCTCAGAAAACACAATGGACCAACACCAGCAGATGACATGGCACCCCAAACCATCACTGACTGTGGAAACTTTACACTGGACTTCAAGCAACGTGGATGAAGTGCCTCTCTTCTTTTCCTCCAGACTCTGGGACCTTGATTTCCAAAGGAAATGCAAAATTTACTTTCATCAGAGAACATGACTTTGGACCACTCACCAGCAGTCCAGTCCTGTTTCTCTTTAGCCCAGGCAAGACGCTTCTGACGCTGTCTGTGGTTCAAGAGTGGCTTGACACAAGGAATGCGACAGCAGAAACCCATGTCTTTCATATGTCTGTGTGTGGTGGTTCTTGAAGCACTCACTCCAGCTGCAGTCCACTCTTTGTGAATCTCCCCCACATTTTTGAATGGGTTTTGTTTCACAATCCTCTCCAGGGTGCGGTTATCTCTCTTGCTTGTACACTTTTTTCGACCACATCTTTTCCTTCCCTTCGCCTCTCTATTAATGTGCTTGGACACTGAGCTCTGTGAACAGCCAGCCTCTTTAGCGATGACCTTTTGTGTCTTGCCCTCCTTGTGCAAGGTGTCGATGGTCGTCTTTTGGACAACTGTCAAGTCAGCAGTCTTCCCCATGATTGTGTAGCCTATAGAACTAGACTGAAAGACCATTTAAAGGCTTTTGCAGGTGGTTTGAGTTAATTAGCTGATTAGAGTGTGGCACCAGGGGCCATCAATTTTGAACCTTTTCACAATATTCTAATTTTCTGATATGATGAATTTGAGATTTTCATTTGTTGTCATTTGTAATCATCAAAATTAAACAAAATAAACATCTGAAATATATGAGTTTGTATGTAATGTATGAATATAATATACAAGTTTCACTTTTTAAATGGAATTACTGAAATCAATCTACTTTTTCATGATATTCTAATTTTATGACCAGCACCTGTAGGTCCTCCATAAGATTCAACCCCAACAATTGAATGATAACATTTCAACAAAAAACAAAAAAAAAGAAGAAGACACTCCATGAGAGAGAGGATTAAAATGGGATATCAAGCCTCTCAAGCACAAAAAAGAGGCAGCAGCAGAGATTCTTCATTTTCACAGTGAATCACTGTGATTCTTAATGAAAACTTAACAACACTGCGTAAATATGTCTTCCTTTATCCTGTCATCACCATGTGAAACGATTTGAATATTCTTGCTGAAATAAACTTGCTTTTCCTTTCATATTCATTTGCAAGGCATGGCATCTGTGTACAGCTCTCTGAGTCAAAACTTTATTGTAAAAAAACACTTTAATGTCCCAGCCGTGAGGATTCATAGCCCCTTCACAACTTAATATAGTCTTTTTTTCTAATCTGAACCCTCACCAACTACTTTTACGCCAGCAGCTGATCTTATCAAACCAATCTGAACCTGTCATAATTACGTGCAACTCACACTCACAGATCTCACTGAATGTGTAGTGAATGGCAACCACACCCACACTTTAGGACTTCCAGGTTTACCCTTGTCAGTATCTGAAAAGGGCAAGATTTCCTTCTGATAAAATCTAAGATACTGTACTTTAGGCAATTTAAAAATTGATATTTTTGGGAGTTTCAGAAACAACAAAGGTGTGGTATAGTAGAGTTGAACTTGTCTGCATCATTCGTATTTTCTACCAGACCTCAACCCTCCCCTCTACTAGCTTTGCCCTCTCTCTCTCTCTCTTAGTTGGTTGTTCCTCCTTCTGTATCCACTGCAAAAGATATCCACTCATTTGCTCAGTAGATATAGGAATGAACGTATGTCTTGTCTAATTATCTCCATAAAGGAAACAGCACAGAGCTGTGGGACGGCTATAAAAGGGAATCAGGAAAAGTTAATTGGTAGATCAGCTTGTGAAAGTGTCTGAGTGTATTTATCTCTCAAAGGACTGTTTCTTTTTGCAGTGGAGGAGCTCTGTCTCCCCCCCCGTCCTCTGCATCATCTGCCTCCTCATGCTGCTCCTGTCTCTTGCTGTGTGGGTCGAAGCATTTCAACAAGAGAGGAGCAGACGTCTTCTAAGCAAAGCCCTGCACAGACATAACTGCCTCTGATTCAACACCATGGCCGTACGGGATGTTCCCTCTCTGCTGCTGTTGGGACTCCTGGCTCTCCTTCACACCTGGGGAGGTGAGTGAGTCTATGGATGATGGGATTTCTGGGATTCAGGAAGAACTGGAAATGTTTAGGTGGGATGTTAGGATTACTTTGTATACTTTGTACACATGCAGGCTGCAAAGTCAAAATAAAATAAGAAGGAGGCTTAACTGAAAGAGCATTTGTTTTATGCAAGCATGACCTGTAATCAAGTTATGACTAACTCTGTTACCTTTAAGTGGTTTAGAAATTGAACTCCTGAAGAAGCTGTTTTCCTGTTGGAGCAAATCATCTTTTCAGCTTCTCTTGTTTTCTTATTTCATTTTAGTTATTTTAACCAGCAGGAATCCCGTTTACTCTTATTGGTGTTTCTTTTTTTAAATTGATTTGAGCGTAACGGTTTCACCTAATTTGCTCATTAGTTTCTATTCTTTGTGCACAGAAGTTGCTTTCACAAGATTTTGCTTTTTACATTAACATAGGAATAAAGAGTGAATGAAGACTGGCTTGAATAAAGGCTGCCTTCAATGATGGGCTTGTTCACTTGTTGCATGTGGACTTGGAAACCTGCTCTGTAATAGAGATCACGTTCCTTTACTATCTAAAGTTCTGGTGGACTGTGAAGTACGCTGCGTGTATTTTTAGCCAGCAGCGCCCACAGAGGTGCAGAATGAGGGAGCTCTCTGTCTGCTTTCTGTCACTGTCCCAGCAGTGATCAAGTGGCTCAGGGCGGCTGGGGCAGCAGAGAATAGCTCAACTATGTTCCTCTAGCATAGAACATTCATGTCTGAGCTCTGGTTCTCTGCAGATCCACAGAGGAGGGAGATTTTGACGCCACATAGAAGCAGAGAGAAATTTGTTCACCTGTGTTGCCGTGGAGTTTATTTTCTTTTTCCTTAAACAGAGAGTCATGAGAAGTGGGTCATTGTATGCATTCCTAAGGATAAGATGGAAGTTGGTTTGTTCAAACAGCTCATGCCTTCCTGTTCCTGTGACTGTCTTCCCTTCTCTTCCATTCCTTAAATCTCTACTCTTCACCTTTTTGTTTGACCCTGTTTGCCACCAACCCCACAGACTTCCCTCTTCCTTCATGCTGTGTTGCACTGAGGTCTTGTTTGAGCTCAGGCCATTGTTTTTTATCCCTTCCTTATCTTTTTCTCCTGATAAAGTCCACTTCCTGGTCTTGTCCTTTGCTGACTTTCTTGCACCTCAAAGTCATTCATCAGAAATAAATGTATCCATGCAGAAATACTATTCTATATGTATTCAACTGTCTTGATCAGTAATGTAATCTCATGCAGCCCGAGATAAAGAGAGTAAAATTACTCTATTGAATTGATTCTTTTTTTGTTTCATGGTTTGCAATGACAAAAACAACTTTACTAAATGTTCTCTAAAGTGTCAAACATGAAGCATTTGTGCAACTCAAACTTCCTCACATTTTCTCTTAATACAACTTTTAATTACTAAGTATTTTAAAGGGTTTATATGTGGTAGACCAACACTCAAGAAGAAATATGACCTGAAATGTGGAAAAACATGACTTGCTTGTCCTGTATGTTTTAATTTTCCTCTTTGATGAACCTGCAACCTTTCTAAGCACCTGAGCTGAAGATCTCTGCAGCTCCTCCACAGTTACCACAGGCTTCTTGGCTTTTTCTCTAATTAAAGGCTTTATATTTGTATTTTCTGGGTAAACAGTGCTCTGTGGTGCTTTTGGATATTGCCCTAAGCTTCTTCACATCCTGACCTGTCTGCTGTGTTCCTTGGTTTCCATGGTGCTGTTTGTTCACTAATGTTCTCTAGCAAATGTCTCAAGACCTTCATGGCTAAGATGGATTTATTCTGAGTTAAAATCACCCACAAGACAATAGAAGCATTGAATTTTTATATGGAAGTGTAGGAAAAAAGGAGGCCACATGTGAAGCACATCACTTTTTTTTTTAAAGATACAAAAACGTATTCCTTTGGCTTCAGCATAATATGCCACTTTTAGTTTGGTTATTACATAGACAATACAATAGATCAACCTTTTTTCAAAATATTTAGATACTTTTGCTACTCTTAAGTTGGATTTCCTTTAAATACTACAGTTAAGTACAGATTTCTTTAAATACTACAGCAGATCAATTAGTCACTGCCTAAAAATTGGTGAAAAAAGCAACCTTTCATCAGAAAGGAGACAATCCCTGATAAGGAATGAATAAGCTTCCTGTGACGTACGCTTAACAAACCAAAGAGCGTTCATATTAGACCACTATGGTTTAAAGGTCATTCCTCTCAGCTTTGAAAAATGTAGACTTGAGCTCAGAAGCACTTCTGCCCCCTCAGAAGAGGAAGTAGTATAGGGAGGGACAAGAAACGCCCTTGTTGAATCCTGACCAACAGCATCAAAAATATTAGATTCAACAGATCATAAATAAAAGTCTCCAAATTCAGAATTCTCATGTGGCACATTTTTGAAATCATGTGGTGTCATTTCATGCTTCTTAGGAGTTTTATTTAACATTGCTTGTAGCCCCTCCTGAGCAATGTTTGATTAAACAGCGATCAGTCACATAATGTTGGAAATACCACATAAATATAATTCATGAAAGTCTTTCTTTAAACCAAAAAGTGTGTCATAAAACTGTATCCCAGTGTGGGGGGAAAACATGTCCTTGTCACTTATCTCTGCTTCTCAAAGTAAAGTCTGGAGCATTTCATGTTGTGTTTATGTGTCCCCCTGCAAACACAGAGCAGAGGAGTCACCCTCTACCGTTTGTTTCATCCACACCATTACCTTGTATTATCCATCTGGAGCTGTCCAAAGTTGTTTTTGTGAGTTCATGGTTGTTGAGATTAGTGAAGCATTATCCAGACCTCTTGTAACTCCTGGAAAGGAAATAGTGGACAAAGCTTGAGAGTCATCTGGAAACAACGGAAAGAGATGCTTATTTGGAAAATGTTTGACTTTCCTTTTTATCAAAAGCATTTCTCTTTTGAGATCAGCTTCTTCTCCAGCATTCTACATTCACATTTATCCCCATTTGACCCTGTTTATTGTCCCACTAGATCACTAATACTAGAGTAGATCCTAAATAATGGTTTTAGTTTGCTTTATAAGATGCACTGATCAAATGTCTTTCCGGGTTGATGATGATTTTATAATTTCTTTGAGGTCTCATAAAGTTAGAAGGTTTAAATCCAACAGAAAATAACAGAATTTTAAGAAACCCCCTTTATCTATCAAAGCGTCACTAACAGCTGTTTAAATTACTGGCTGTTGTTTGGCTGACTCACACAAAAACAAATTTTCTGAGCTCTGATACATTCAATAAGTGGCAAAATAACATCTTTTTTAGTATTTAACCTGGTAATCAGAGCTGATTATAGCTCTGATCAGTGAGCCTTGAGTGACAATTATAGGATTCCAGTTTCTGAGGATAAATGCATCTAAAAAATGTCTTTATCTAAAAAAAAAATAAAACATGTTAAGCCATATTTTATCTCTTCAACCTTTTGTCCCTGCTTTCTAATAATCATTCAAAACAGCCTTGATATAAAATTCTCCTGACCATCAAATGATGAACGTCCACTTGTGGACATCTCCATTGGACTCTGACTTCTTTTAAACTATTTCCATTCCTTGGATTTGTAGGACAGCATGTGTACTGTGTGCTTAACAATGGAAAATTGTAAAAAAGTGAAGGGCAAAGGAAGTGTAAGACCAAAAGACAGCACATGACCAACATTTAAAAGGTGTACTTTTCATTGGAAAAAAGAACTAAACACAGCATATCTGATAGATGACCTGAGAGATAGCTCTTTAGTTGATCACCTAATTAAGTGGTGTTGTTTTGATGTGGATAACTAATCCGAGCGTTGCCTTGGGGACAGCACATGATCTGAATAGATACAAATTCAAACATATATGTCAGAATTCCATGAATTCTGACATATATGTTTGAATTTGCGTGTTTTTTAGCTTTGCAGCTCCAAAGCTCTAGAATGACATTCCTCAGTGCATCAGGCAGGCCTCCTCTCTGACTGTTTTTAAATCTCCTGTCAAAACCCACCTTTTTGATTTTACCCATGTTTGAGCTGTTTTGTCTCTTATCTGTGACATTTTATCAATTTTTCTGTACAGCACTTTGGTCAGCTTTGGTAATTTTATAATTGCTTAGCAAATAAAATTGGATTAGACTGTAAAAGAGGAGCAAAAGTCATGTTGGTATAAAACAAAAAAAAACAAAGTTTCCTATTAATAGAAATATGTTCTAAACCTGACTCAGATTCATCCCCTGAATAATAAGTCTTTTTTACTCAAGTAGGAATCAATGGTCTCAGTTTAGTGACACAAACAAAACACTAACAAAGATCTGAATGGGAAATAGTTGGTAAAAACAGGCTAAAATCTAAATAAGAAAACAAAAATCAAAAGGCAGCAGGGATTTTGCTTGGCATTTGTTCAAGCAGGGATGTAACTACCGTAGCTATTTTCTGACGGGTATGCAGAAACCTTAAAGCACCTCCCCACCTGATATTACTTTTATGTCTCTACATGTTATTTATCACTTTTGGGAATGTTGCTGAGTTCTTGGGAGTGTTCAATCCCCACAGCCTCCATTCTGGGTTCCTAAGCAAGATTCTTAACCCCACACTGCTCCCAATAGCAGCCCACTGCTCCCCAATGGGATGGGTTAAATGTATAGAATTAATTTTGTTGCTTTTTACTTGTGACAGTATAATGACAATAAAGTTGAATTTTATTCTATTCTATCCTTCTATTCTATTATCAATAAACTAATAGAACAAAATACTTTTATTACAGACTCTCATCTGCACCTCTCTGTCCCACAGTGTCTCCTAAAATTTTATTCATTCTGATTCTCTGGCTTTTAGTGGTCTCATTAGTTTTATTATTCCTACCTGCTGCCATCACCAGCCTCCTGTCTCCTTCACCTGTTGTCTATTTTCTTCAGCACTAAGTCACAAAGCGATACAAACAATATTTCATAGTAGTACAAAAATAACAGACTTTTCTAATATTT